GGCAGACACGATCTCATAGCCGCCGTGACAAAGATGATGCATGGAAAAACTTGGTGGTACTAGTATTTCAATATACATTTAGTTGAATTTTCACTGAAGTCAGGTATACCCAGTCCTGGTAACAGCTCAGTAATTGCAATGTACTAATTCCTGTCCACCCACAGTTAAATCTGGAGGAGGTATTGATGCTCACCCTCTCATGGGGTGTCCTCGGAGCCTACAGGATCAGTACTTCAACGTGCAGAATATTCACGGCTTGTTTTCAGAGAACTATGACTAAGTGTGTTTTCCTCTGCAAAATATGTCACTTTTTCTATGGCTTTCTCCTCAGGCCTGCCTATGTCCTGAGAAGTCCTCAGGGTGGAAAGTCTCACTTCTAGGCCTCTAAAACAACTGAACAAAAAAATAACTACTTTGTAAAGTTAATTAAATTCTTACTTTTCTTAGCTTGTGGAGAAGTCATGGACATTGCACAAAATATTGGCTGAAAGTTTGCCCTGCCTTTACACCCCTCTAGATACCAAACAATTCTAATGTCTCATGCTGGATTTGTTCGATGGCCTTTAGCTCATAAATGGGGAGTATCTGTGGCCTTTCCTCCATTGCTCCTCAGTTAGACATGGCTCTCGGCTTTTATTCTCTGTAACACTAAACTTTGGTTTACTTAAATTGAGGCAGCCCCGTGAGTATGAATCAACATTTTATGCATTGTTGAGCAATAGACACAACACACCCAAATCAGCTTGAAGTGGAAGAATAATTTTCCCCAATCTTTTTTAAGAACACATTTTTAAATAGAGGCTGGGGACTTCCTGAAAGAGCACAAAAGTAGTACAGGCAGGAGAGAGACCAACTCTTGCCAAATATTGGTCAGTACAGATTTTGCCCTGAAGCTCATCCCAAGCAGCAGTGTGGAATACCTAAAGCAGGCATTGCTGCCACAGGGAAGACTCACAGACTGACTGAAACTTTCTATTGTTGAGTTCATCATTTTCAAGGGAGTCATGCAAAGAACAAAGCTGTATTATACAATGAGGCATAAAGAAACAATAATCAAATCAGTAGGTATTTATGTTAACAGCTGAGACACTTGAGGCCACGGTCTGGTTGTGCTTTAAGGGGAGCTGGGGTCAGTGGAGCAGTTACCCCTCCTTCCCCTAGCTGGTAGCGATGGGAGGGCTTGAGCTGGCTGGGGAGGGGAGCGTTTTCCCCCAGGAGTCCTGGAGAGCCTGGCTAAGGTGGGATATTGCAGGTGAGTGTGCTTGTAAAGACTCACGAAGGAGGGAAAGTCTCCTCGTCCTGTTGAGGAAGGAAGAAATGGAAAGCAAGTTGGCATAGGTGACCCTGGTGTGCTTTGTATTTTCACTTGTGCTGTGCGTTGTCTTGGGGCTCTGTTGGAGCAGGCCTAAAAGGTTGAAAATGTGGAAGTGAATTCGCGGTTGACTGAAGAGCTCAGCGTGGGAGCACAGATATTAGGTGATTACTGGTCCCTGGGCCAGGAAAAGTGATGGAGGAAACCAGCTCTGCCACTTTCTGTCTTCATGTCACGTGTTGCTTTGTGTAAGAAGGTACCGAAACTAGAAAGGACCTGCTGGTGTTAGACTGTATTTTTGTATTTGTTAGTAGCAATTACTAGACTAAAATTACTGACCCTACTGCAGATGTTGCTTTCCTTCTGCCTGGCTGAGCATGTTGCTGCTGCGGGCTCTAGCCCATGACTGGAGCTGGAGGAAGTCTGATCTGGTCTGTGAACTAAATCTCAGAAAATATCTTCAGCAATTTCTTCTTTCTGCAATTTTACCAAATCAATCTCTACTGGGGTCAGAGTTAGACAAGTGTGGCGTTTCCAAAATTATCTGATTCCAACCACTCGTGCTCTTAAGGAGTTTGAAGACCATCCTTAAGACTGCTAATCATGAAAACTGCTTGCCCATAAGGATTTTTTTCTTAATATTACAGGCTAATTCAGTGAGTTTTCCATGTAAAATACAGTTCTAGAATATCTAATAACCAAAATCTTTATTAAAGTTTCCTTTCTGCTGTGCAGTTACTTGGTAAACAGACTTTGCAAAGGTTGTGCGGAGCAAGAACTGCGCCTTGGATATGCAGTGTAATACATACAAATACATGCAGGCCGAAGCTCCGTGTGGTTTTTCATTACTTCTGCTTGTGTCAGTGATCTTGGAACAGGCATTTCAAAATGAGCCCCAGAGATGAGCAGGTGGCACTTGGAGCCGGTTCACCTATTAAGAGATTATCCAGCTGCACACAAACTGGCAGCACATTGAGCGTGATAAGGCTAACGAGCTGCACACTGATGTTTTTGAGACAGCTCTCTGCCTTTCCTTTTCTGCCTGCAAGAAGCCACTAGATAGCAGTACAGGAGCAGAAAGCAAGGCATATTTTTCTGGTTCTTCCCAGCACGCTTGGATTTTGGGTGGCCTTTTTCTACTCTGCTGCATTTAGCCCAGTCTTGCTAAAGAAACAAAGCTGATGTGATGCTGTGTTTATCCTCTTCCTTCCCTAGTCACCTGCAACATACCGACCAATTCTGCTTTGACAAGCTTCATGGAAATTAGTAGCTGGATAAAGCTCCAAATTTGTGCACCAGGTGGGATTCAGCTGCTCCCTGCACTGGCATCAGCTGGGCATGGGCTTGCAGCCACTGCTTAATGGGAGACAAAGGAGAAACAGGGATCATTGCAGGGAAAAAGTCTCCAGGATATTGGACACATCAGGTTTCATTAGTTCTGTTCACAAAACAGCTGGGGTTGTGTGTACTTGGCACTGTATGAACTGTACCTGGTCAAACATAGCAAATTAGATATTTTACCGATTGCTGGTTAACCTGCCTTATAATGTTGACAATAAGACACTGCTGTATTGTTGTGTCTGTCCCCACTGGTTGCTGTTTATGCTGCACTGAAGCATGTGAAGGTACAGAGCAGCATTCCGGCATCACTTCGATTCAGAATAAACTCAGAATAGTTCTCTGAGCTTCACGCTGCTTGAATCTGCCACTAAGTTGGCTACAGCAGCAGCAGTTGGCTACATGCTGGTGAAAGAAACCAGGCATCCTGGCTTTGCTGTAGCCTAGTCTGTCGGGGATCTACTTCTTGCCACTGTAAGGTAGCGGTGGTGTGATGGATGAGGATGCTAATGAGAGGTAGCCTCCTACTCCAATGTACTACTGAGTCCAACAGGTCTGCAAGCACAAGAGTCCTTCTCTGATGCTGTGTTGGGGGGGGGATATCAAACAACTAATCCCTCTTCAACCTTCCTGTGCTATTCAAGATTTTGTAGAGCTGTTCGTGGTGCCCCTTAGGTTATCTCTTTTCAAGGCTGACTCATCTTGGATTACCCATCTAATCTTCCTGTGGAAGCTCTTCCATACTTTCCACCATTCTTTTTGCCCTTCCTGGTACCCTTGCTGCATCTAAGATACGCTTTTGAAGGGACTAGAACTATACATAGAATCCAAGGTAGATTTGTAGAGTGGTGTAATACTGTCTTCTGCTTTGTTTTCTATGGCTTTACTAATACCTGCTAAAATTTGATTTGCTTTTTTCTATGCTACCAAGCAGAGGGGTGATATTTTCATGGGCTTGACTACTCATGATAAGCCCAAAATCTCATTCCTGAGGGGGTAATGTCTGGTTAAAGCCCATCATTTTATCATTAAAACTTGGAATTGCTCTCCTGTTTGCACCATGCTACATTTATTTGCACAGAATTTTGTCCATCTGCAATTCTTCATTCCTGACCTTAATGCCCTGAATTACTTTTGGTTTATTACTCATCTTTTCCAGAGAAGAACTTCCGGAGAACTTCTTTATCAATTGGTCAGAAAGTAAATAAAGTCAGAAAGAGTAAAAAATACTTCTTGGAGATGGTGTTGCAGATCTTTGGGAAGGATGTTGTTTTGGTGAGAAAACATTTGTGAGAGTTCCTCCAAGGCTGTCTTTGCAAATAGAAAATATGAAACGGGGAAAGAAAGAGAGAGGTCTTCAAGCAGAAGGCAGAATCGGGGGAAATGAAGGGATTAAGAAAATGTAAGCAAAGACAAAGTCAGAGGTGGAGACTAAGCCAAATTTTTAGGAGTGTAAGAGCACAGAGCTTGTTCTTGCTGCGCAGCACCGCAGAATGGTAATGGGCCTTAAGAGTTCCATGGAAAGGCAAAACAAATAGTATATTGAAATCTCTGGTGGTAGTACCATGCTGAGTGTTTTGGAAGAGGAAAGGAGAATAGGATAGAATGGGATAGGATAGAATGGGAATGGGATGGAATAGAATAGTTCAGTTGGAAGGGACCTACAATGATCATCTAGTCCAACTGCCTGACCACTGGGCTGACCAACAGTTAAAGCATGTTGTTAAGGGCATTGTCCAAATGCTGCTTAAACACTGACAGGCTTGGGGCATCGACCACCTCTCTAGGAAGCCTGTTCCACTGTTTGACCACCCTCTTGGTAAAGAAATGCTTCCCATTGTCCAGTCTTAACCTCCCCTGGCGCAGCTTTGAACCATTCCGACACATCCTATCACTGGATACCAGGGAGAAGAGATCAGCACCTCCCTTTCCATGTCCCCTCCTCAGGAAGCTGTAGAGAGCAATGAGGTCCCCCCTCAACATCCTTTTGTCCAAACTAGACAAACCCAGAGTCCTCAGCTGCTCCTCACAGGACATGCCTTCCAGCCCTTTCACCAGCTTTGTTGGCCTCCTCTGGACGCATTCAAGGACCTGAACATCCTTCTTAAATTGTGGGGCCCAGAACTGCACACAGTACTCAAAGTGAGGCCGCACTATTGCTAAATACAGCAGGAGAATAATCCCTTTTGACTGGCTTCTATCCGGAAGCGTAGGAAAGAAGCGGTTGCAGTACATAAAATCTGGAAATGGAGAAATGAGACTTCAGTGGGGCTAACTCAGCATCTCTAGAAAGTATAAGATCTACTTTTCTTTCCTTCCACTTGCTGCCCTGGAATCTCCATCAGCTAAAATGTCCCATTTTGTGCTGTTTCACTGGATTATGATACAGATCTTGATAGGTGAGTCTTCACCTGCTTTTTGTGTGCTTGCTCAGAAAACAAAAATTTTGTAAAATTAAAATCAGTGACACCTGTTTTGTGAAAACAAAACGGTGAAAAAGGTCGTAGTTGTATACAGAACTTCAGAAGTTTTCTTAACTGAGTTAATACTGATGGAGAATTTTTTTTTTTCTTTTAAAAAATGTTTGTGGTTTCCTCTGTGTATAGGCTTGGTTAGTTCCCCTGTACCCCCAAATTATCTAATTTCTTTACTGCTGTTAAATGTGTACTGCTGGCTTTGCTGCTTCATCTGTCTCTCCACCACACTACAGTGCTGACACAGCCCAAGCTAGGGATTTGAAATGACAGGGTAATGAATGTATATACATGATAAAGAAAGAATTTTCTGAAACTCTGAGGGCAGTCTGCTGCTATGAACTGCGTATGGGAAAGCGTGGTTGGACATTCCTCTCCTTTTGCTCTCAAGTGTTCAGTTCACCCATCTAAAATCTGAATCCTAAAAAAGAAGTCAAAGAAGAGTAACTTGAGAGGCTGGGTCTTGCAAGCATGATTGGTGTCGGCTACATTTCTGCATGCGCACTTAGGCATCAGCAGTGCAGTTTCCAAGTTGTCCGAGGTGGCTCAGGAATGTGAGTTCATCCACTTTCAGTGGGGCTCCTAATAGGACTTGTGCTTTTAAATCACTTAGGCATTTCAGGAAATTCTGTCTCAGATGACTAAATATTAATTGGCTAACCTCTGCCAGGATGAAATATTGTGTACCGCAACGGCGAAGTTCTTAAATTGATCTGAAAAGTAGTGGAAAAGTTTGGTCAGTGGCAGGATACATTGAGAGGCAAGAGGTGATCCATGCCCCTTTGAAGCAAGGTAACACAACCTCCACGGTGTCTGCTGCACAAGTGGAGCTTCGCTGGCACTTTCCTGTAGTCCAGGGAATTCTGTAATATTTTTTGTCTTTTGCCAGTCTCAGCAGAAGAAACAGGAGGGCTCTTTCCTTGCCGTATCTTCAGCCTCAAAATAAATCGGAGGTACTTGCCTCCGTTTGGTCTTATTTTCAAAAACTTTCTTATATGCAGAGCTACTGAAGGGTGAGAATGGCTTTTTGTTACCTTTTCTTTAATTCAGCTTGGTGCTGAGAATGGGTAGTCTTGAGATTCAGGAAACCAGTAGAGTGGGCAGTTAAATGCTTCTTTTCTGTTTATCAGTCATTTTCTTTGCAATTTCATCAGTACAGAAGCTTCAAGAAGAAATAAAAAAAAATAGGTTGATTGGGAAAAGATGCCAGGTATCTTCTACAAAGAAGGAAAATTATTCCAGAAATAGATCAAGAAAAAAAAATTCTTTTTCAACCAGCTGTCTTGGCTGGAGGATGTATGTCTTTGTCCATCCAATGACCAGTCCACGGGAGAGAAGACCACTACAACAGCAACTATTGGAGTTACTGCTTAATACCAACTGTCACTGAGGGTTGGTTCAAGAAAGACTATATTAAAATATGTGTATATCTGTATGATCTGAACAATTATGAATACCCCTTTCTATTTTGGAAGATATATTAAACATCTGGAGTCCATTTCTCTCTCACTTGGATTAAGGACTTAGAGTGGCAAACCTCACTGACTTCAGTGGGACTACCCAGGCATAGCTGATGCTCAGGGTGCCTTGGGTCAAATATGGATGCCTAGGAGGGTCACTGCCATGGACAAGGGTAGGATTCCTCTCACAGTAAGACTAGGGTGTCACAGTATAACAGTCTCAGGAGCCTCTTAATTTCAAAGACATGTTCATTCAGCCCTATTTACTATTGTTTTTGGAAGATGTGTCTGCAGAAAAGGCTGCAACTGAGAAGGAAGTTAGTTAGTCCTTGCAGAGGTTCACACTGTTGATTCAAGGCTGTGAGGTATTGAAGCTTTCCATACCAACCTGCAGTGCAGGCAGATGTTAGCAACATTAGCTTCACATAGATTAAAAGAGGATTTGAAACTGCAAAACCTGTAACTTTCTAGCACCAATACTGGTGGGAAACTGCACTGGAGACACTCTGGTGCCTTGTGTCTTCCCTCTTCTTCTTTTTATTTATTTATTTAATAAGTTCAGGGCTCTGCTTCTTCCAAAGAGAAGAGCAGACAAATTTTCATTTGTTAAAGGATTGCTTAATGAAGCTGCTTTTGTGCTGTGCAGGACTGGGATGAAATAAGAAGAAAAGATGAGCCCATTTCTCCTCAAGCAGCAGTGACCTTAACTCCAGGAACAGTTCAAGCTGGTCTTGGTGTTGCACACATCTTTGTTAGGGTGACTTGAAAATATGTGTTAACCCACTCAGTGGCTAACCCCCTGCTCCCCTAGGGATACTTTCAAGGTCAACTGGATGAACTGTTTTGTTCTGTCGTCACAGAAAGAGGCTGTTTTCTCTGTTTGTTTTGCTGTAACAAGGCAAATGAACCTACCCTTTCCAAGGACTAAAACAAGCAGCCATCTTGCAAAGCCTTATCCTGTATTCAGGAATTCATTTTTTGGCACATCCTACTTTCATTTCACTGCAAAAGCTTCTGCCCTTCACACCATATTGCATGTTGTTTTGTCTGCCTCTACTCTTTTAGCATTTGGAGCTGTGGAAACCTGAACGAGTTGGCTTATCTTGCCAATGGGATAAGCAATCATGAAACTGAAATGTCATCCCAATAACAAGTCATGAGGCAGCCTGCCACAGACTAAAACCTCACCTGGGGAATAGTCCATTAAAGACAAAACAAAAGAGACATGGACACAGTTGGAAGCATCTGTTTGCTATCTGGGAGTCATGCCAAGAAGAAAAGGCATTCAAACAGCTGGCAAAATAGAAGTGTTTGGCAAACCAGGGCCAAAGCTGGTTGTAATAGCAGCAACTGCTCTAAGTCCTTTTTGGGGTAAGCAAGCTGGCCATGAGACATCAGATCTGTGGGATGATCCTCTTGCTGCAGCAGAGGACCAGATCCAGTCCCTCAGTTCCTGCTCCACCATATGTAAATGATAACATGAGGGAAAAAGGCAACAAGGTAGGAGGACTGACACAGACTAGATGAATGTAAACCAGAAAAGATTTGTTCCTGTATGGGAACCTTTTTCATATAGTGCTTTTCATGAAGAAGAAATCCCTTTTAGGGCAATCTGGGAACTGCGTAGACAGTTAGGAGGGAACAATATGTAGCAAAGATTCAAACCAGATGCTAAGGTGGGTATTGGCTGTAAACACCAAGTAAAGCTGGTCATTAAGAGTAAGAGCACAAGGAAAGCATGCATATGCTCCTTTTAACATCACTATAACGCTAGCAGTTAAAGCTTCTATGTACACAGTGCTCTGCAAGGTAACTGGGATAGTTGGCAGGGCTTGCTCAGAAACAGAAAAAGTAGTGCACTTTCTGAGAATAGGTTCCCATAGACAGATCCCACTGCTCTGCCAGCTTAATTAGGCCCTAATTTCACACATGAATAGGTATTTTGGACCCTGCTATTGAGACTGTCAGTGAAAGGCAACTATGACAGCGTTTTCTTTTTGAGGGAGATGATGGTGGACTGACAAAACCAGATGTATTTCACACCAGGTTTCTGAACAACTTTCAAACAGTCTCTTAGGAGAGGGGACGGGATGGGAGCAGAGTTCCCAAATTCCATCTGCACAGGTCTAGTCTGCACTCGGGCTGCCAGCGACAGACCTCAGCTTCGCTCACCATGTGTTTGATGTGAGTGATGTGTTTCGTGAGCAGCCCTCCAGCAGCTGGCCGGGGCCAGAGCATGGAGCCCTCCAGCAGCAAGCCAATGTCTGCGAGCTCCTGGCTGCTGCCCATAGTGCCCCGGGCCATTAGCTGCCACAGGCTCCAGGGGAAGGCTTGGGGGATCAGTAACTGTGGCCTGCCTGCAGGCAGGAGTGTTTCTTTTCCAGCCTCACTGTGTTGCATAGGTAGAGTCACGCATTGGAGACTGCCAACACTCATCTTTCCTTGTTCTTCCCTGACAGCGCACACAGCATCCGAAGCTGTTGTTACAGGAGTAATAGGGCAACCTGTTCAGTTGCCTTGCTTCTACCAGGTGGCACGACATAAGGACATCTCCGATATGTGCTGGGGCAGAGGCCCCTGCCCAAATTCAAAGTGCAATAACAAAATTTTGCACACCACTGGGAATAGGGTGACATTCAGAAAGTCTCAGAGATACAGTCTCCGGGGCTATATTTCCTATGGAGATGTGTCTCTCACAATTGGGAAAGTGAAGGCAGAAGATGCAGGTACATACTGCTGCCGCATAGAGATCCCGGGTTGGTTCAACGACATCAAACAGAACATGCAGCTGAAAGTGGTCAGAGGTGAGTTTGGGGACCTTCATGACACAGCCAGCAGGGAGAAACCTCTCACTGGATAGGAGCTTAAAATTGGAGTTTATCTGTGCTTTTTTTGTTTGTTTGTTTGTTTGTTTTGGCAAAAATTGTTTTTCCTAAATTACGCAGTTTTGAAGGGAGGTCTGCAACCAGTTGCCAATTTGAATTATATTCAATAAGCAGTTTTGATGAGAAAATAGTAACTTTTACCCTTTTTTTGCCTTTCAAATGAAATATTTAATTTCTCTTGTGTAGCTATATTTGATGTTTTAAAAGATGATGGAATTAAAAAAGGGATTTATCATTTGAAGAGCCCTTGGAATGAAATTCAGTTTTTCATTTGGGATTAACCCCAACACCAAAAAGGCTTTCATTTGGTTCATGTCATAAGGAGACCCACATGTTTAGAAATTTTGTCTCAGAGTCTTGAAGGACTTTTTCCCCTTCCTATTATTTTGCTGAGCTGCAGGATAAAGTAAGGGTCTTACAAAGTCGAGAAGAGGCTGAAAAGCATTGCAAAGCACAGAAAAAAGATGATACCCACCCTCCACACTGCAGAAAGACAATTTTTTTTCTGACTTTTACAGGGTGTTTAGGAGTGCAATTGGTGATGATGTACACAGCAGTCTTGTATGCATTTTGTAAGCAATATAACAAGAGTGGGGGAAAAATGCTGCAATCCCATGTCTATCCCTGAGTTTGAGGGCAACAGAGTTCATAAAAAAGGATTGGTTGAAAAGTTTAGCAAGAAGCTTGTAGCTGAAAATCAAGCTTTTTTTATTTATTTTGTTTTTATGAGGACATTGAAAAGCAAAATCACAAAGTTTGCAAGTTTTTGGGCTCTACCACAGAAGGTTCTGGCCCTCCCATTTCTGTAAAAGGGTCGAGGAGGGCGTGTTTGAGACCTACAAAAAGAAAAAAAGGCAAATCTGTTAATCTGGGAATCGCTCTGGCTGGGGCATGTTTTCTGCTAATTAAACAACCTTTTTAAATAGCGACTCTCCCACCTTCATTCTCAGTATTTTAGCAGCTAGATAATTTTCATTCATTTCTGGGTTGGCTTTCCTCAGGGTCGGTTGTGAATGGTCTGATCTAGCTTTTCTCTTGGCTATGTTTTTTCCACGCAGCCCCTCCAGTGATGACAACCACCAGGAGAAAGGCTCCCGTTTCCCGCAAGCCTTTTAGAAAAACAACTTTTGCTCCCCAAGCAACCTCTGATCATCAAGCAACAGCAGAGACTGCTGTCCTCCTGACAACCACCATCCCCGAAGCAACAACTGCAACCACTGATCATCAAGCAACAGCAGAGACTGCTGTCCTCCTGACAACCACCGTCCCCCCAGCAACAACTGCAACCACCGAGTCTCCAGCAGTAATTACACTGGAGACCATTGCACCCCCAACGTTTGCTGTGACAGAAAATGATACTTTTCCAGCAAACATGGTGGCAATCAGTGCTCTCCCAGATTTTCCAACTGGTTTCCAAGCAGCTGATGTGAGGACTGAAGATGACGACGTGTTCTGCTCAGCAGAGTCTGTCCCTCTTCCTGCAGGTACAAAGGGTAACCAGCACCAATCCTTTCTTTTTTCTGTGTAGCAGAGATGTGTTAGCCTGACTCTGGCATCATAGAGACTCTCCAGATACTTATATTTGTATCTGGGAAGTTTTCTCCAAGATGCCTATAGGTATGTCTCAGTAGGTTTAAGGAAACACAGGTCAAATGTTGTGGATGATGCCAAACTGGGGTGAATGGCCAAGATAGCAGAGGGTCCGGCTTGCATTCAGAGGAGTTTTAACAGGCTGGAGAAATAATGTGACAGAAACCTCATGAAGTACAACAGAAATAAATGCAAAGTCCTGCACCTGGGATGGAGTAAGAGATTCACTGAACCATGCACTAATTTTTTTCTTGATTTGGGAAAGACAATTGAAATGATCTGCTGAAAAGGTTAGTTTAGAGCATGTTCTGCCTGAGCAATAAAGTCAGTGAGAATTCAAAACATGCTTAAAATAGAGTACTTACATTGTCATCCCATATGAAGGCTGCTGTTATTATTAATATTTAGTTGATCAGAGTGACCTATTATCATCCTAGCCATTCCTAGGTTGCTACTTCATCCACATCAGTGACTTCTTTTCCACAGATTGATGTCTGCACACAAGGCTGTTTTTTGTACATTTTTTGGGTCTTCTATCACTTGAAGTTCTTTCTGACCTGAACCTCTGAGGACAGCTTTTCTGTACTATCTCTTGTCTTCCAGCCATCACAACGCGCCCCAGTTAAACTGGGCAACAATTAATTACATCCACAGCTGAACAATTAAAACATCTAACCACTGGCCATGGTAGTAAAGTACATCAGTTATCTGGGTAGGATGAGCTGCAGACATGAAAACCGAGGTGCAGATTTTCACCTCTTAGTTGCAGATGCAGAACTGTGCAAGCAATTTTGAATGCCATATGAAGACCCCCCTAATCAGTGATCTTTATAAGCATTACTTTTTACTCTGTTTCAGTGACTACCGAATTCCCAAGTACACATCCGACTGCAGAGGGAACTAAAAGTGCTTACACTTCTCTCATGGTGGAAGGTGTGCCAACTGCAGGTGAGTAGGATAACGTTGCAAGGTCATAAGTTGCATGTTCAGAGAAATGAAGTTGTCATAAACAAAAGTATTGATTATTCTTAAGAGTGTACCAAACATGTACTGATAGCTATTCATTGCATCTGGAAGTAAGAGGTATCTGGGGTTCACACAGAAATTGTTTGAAATCAGGGTGAAACAACAGCTGAGAAAAACATGTTTTTAAGCCTCCAAAGGAAGTAGATTTTAAGTCACTCACACTGTCAGGTATCTCAGGTCTGAGAGAAGTTAAGAACTGGTCTTTGTCACCATCCAAGCTGAATTCTCAGATATCCGATTTGTCATCACATATGGCTGTTATTATTAATAATTCAATTTCATTGAGCTTTCAATTTTAAATCCCCCCTGAGTCTTGTGAGCTTTGAACCTCACCGAATATATTCAGCCGGATGTGGCTACAGGCTCAGCTCTCCAGTGCTCAACATGTTGGTCATGATGGAAAGCAGCAGGCAATTACCACAACTATCAGTCATTCCTTCAAGAGAAAAGGAACCGGTATACAAAATCATACCATATCTGAGAAATGAACAAACTTACATGAAGTTTGCACTTTATGTGTCTCAGTCAAGTATGAAAGTAGAATGGCTCAAGTTATTCAGGTGTGACAGTCTGCCCACCAGATGCCCTCAAATGAGGACTTAAAAAAAGGAAAGCTAAAATTCAAGGATGACACATCATGTTTGGCTGTTAAGAGAGTCCTTTTAGTTTCAACTAGTGCCAAGAATCTCTTCATTCTTAAAAACACAGTATTTAGATTTTTGCAGGTCTTTTGCTAGTCCTAGGGACTTACAGCAGAAATAGAGTTTAAGAAACTGTTCCTTAATGCCCCTGGAGAGGGCTCACAGAAGAGACTAAACTGGTCTCTTGAGCATTTGTGAGGGTTTCTAACCCCGTCTCACTTGTCATCTTTCTGATATAGTTCTGGATAATGCCTATATTCTGCCATTGTAAATAGGAAGTTTTGCAAAGGGTCTTACCTCTGGGATTCTGGGGGCAACTTAAATTGTGACTGTGAGCTAGAAAGAGCCACCACAAAAGCAATAACAGCAGAAAAAGTACCGTGCTTATGTGAGTCATGTACACTCCCACCCATGCAAAAACTTGTGTCGTGTTATTTCCGAGAGCCAAACTGTCATAATGTGTGAAAATGCTGCAGCATAACTGAGCACTGTCTAGTAAGAGCCATAAGCCAAGTTAAGTTCTTGACTCAGTCTCCTTTTACTCTGTGAAATAATGCACTAAATGGACCAACTTCAGCCTTATTGTAATGTAAGAGAAGGCTAATTTGTTGCTGAACTTATTGCTGCTAGTACCGTGGCTGGGAGAGAAACCCATGGTTGAGGGAGACCTCCATCTCCAAAAACAATTCTTGCCAGATAGGTTGGGTTGGCTGGGGTGGTTGGTTCCTGCTGACCAGGTTCTGATTTAGTTTCTCTTCTGTCTTCATCTGCTTTCCCCCAGCAACAACCCCGCCAGTGCCAACCATGCTTCAGACCCCGAAGAGAACCCTTGGTCCTTCAGGTATGCAAAGTAAGGAGCAATAGTTGCTCCCATCAGCCAGGCTGCAGCACACTGCCAGAAAGTTTAATTTTGACTTGTGGGACATGCATGTCAAAGTGAGATATGCACTTCTTGTGTATTTGGGGGTAGTTCTGCTAAACTACCGTTCTCTTCTGTGGGAGCGAAAGAGGGGTGTCATAAAACAGGTGTATGGCAAAATGCAATATTCATGTATCCCTGGGATTTTTAGCACTTGCTAGGGTTTTATTACCTATATTTGTTTAGCTGTAGTGCCTATTAGCCATAATCTCCTTTCTACTCCAGTGCAAATTTCTAGCTACAGTCGCGTGCATATGAGCTACCTGTGCCCTGTCCATGTCTTTGATAAAATGCAAGCAAGTTATTTGGTACATGGAGACAAATCAACTCAGCTCTCATAAAGACCTGATCAGAACTGAGAAATCTGGAGGAGATCAGGTTATTTACTGAATAACATACTCTGAAAAGTTAAAAAAAAAAAAAAAAGGCAAAAAGAAAAAAAGCTATTTTTTTTCTAATGGGATTATTTGTGACCACCTGATCACCCCCATCACCATGCGACATTCTAGGTGTCTCATGCATATAGTTTCCTTTGGCTGCGGTCTTGGGCACCGCAAGCGTGTTACATACACATGCCTTGACAAATGACTCATCTGGTCGCTGGTACAGTTTGCTCAGATGGAGGCTGCATGGTTGTTCTTTTGTCAAACCTTTGAAAGCACTACTCATCACAGTCTTTCTATACATTAGGGCATGACCTAAGGCATGGAAGCTTTCCTGTCATAGGATGTAAGCTGAGGTTTTGATTCACTAAGCTGAGTGACTCCTCTGTTTTTAAGATGCTGCTAAACATTGGGTGCTTCCAGTGACAGATCAAGCACTCCAAATACTTAAATACTTCAGTATTTTGTATCATGAGGTCATGATGAGCCAAGGCCCAAGCCTAGATTAACTTTTTGTGACTTTAAATTCACTAGCAAAAGTAAGAGTAGGATCACAGGATAACAGCAGAAAAGTTTGCTGCAAGACTTCTTGAGCATTCATTTAGTTCATCCCTATTTCCAAAGCTTAGAAAACTAGAACTAAATTATTCTTAATATCCCTGGATAGAAAAAAAATGCATCATCTTCATAGAGCTTTCTTAAACCTGTGGTAAGTTATCTGAACGTAAAGATGTTTCCTGTGGTTTTCAGTTCTAATGCAGCTTTCAAAAACTGCAATCACACATAAGTCTGACCACAATTAAACTGAGACAGTTCCTCCATTTAGACTTGTACCTTGTTTACTACCTCTGCTCTCTATGACATCTTGTCATGCTTACAGAAGTGAACACTCCTTCACAGCAGACAAGTTTCTACTGTCTTGCTTCATGGGCTATCCCTGGGAAGCCTCCTCTTTCTTTGATGAAGACTGACATTTCCTAGTGAACTGCCTGATACACCATTTGTGGTGGAAACAGACTGTTCCCTTTTGGTTGTAAGGTGCTTTATTTCTCCTACTCGGGGCCAGATTTTGCCCTCCTCATTCCCTGGGAGTTCACTACTCCTTGACTAAAGCAGTGACAACCACAGTGGCCCTCACTCCTTCAGGTGACTGTGCCAGTAATAATATCAATCTCTTTTATTTTCAGGGATTTCAGCAAGTTCAGACAGCAAGGCTGAGAAACATGATGGTAATGGAGATAAGGTAAAACTTCCTTTGTTTCAAGAGTGTTTAACTGGAAGCCAGAAGGACACCAGGACATGCTAGTGATTTTCAATGTATTCATACTAAAGGGACAGTGTTTGCAAACAGTAGTTTGAACTTTTGTTTAGAAGCTCAGGAACCATCTATTTATCTTTCTAGTGGATAGAGCCAAAGCCTGTGACCATCCCATCTGGTTTGGACACTTCAGAAAAACCTCATCCCCCTGACACCCCTGTAAGAGAGGCAGAGGTAGCATCCTCGGGGTGTGACCAGGCAAAGACAACTTAGGAGGGTTGTTACGCTTCCCTGTCTCTAATTAAGAGAAGGATGAGGGTGACTAAGCTCCTACTTTAGACACCTTATTAAGAAGTTCATGTTAAGTGGGATGAATCTAGGCTCAAATGCTTCAGAAGGAGATTTATTAAATACCTAACAGGTAATTCATGTTGTTTATCATGATCAACCTCATGTGTCTTCTCCGTATTTTGTACAGGCAAGCTCAGAAAAGCATTGCAAACTCCAGCCCAATGCAGATATTTCAGAGCTCTTAGCTACTAGGGCAACCCACTCCTGCGTGAACAGGTCTGAAGTAAACATGCTTCTAAAGCCTTTTAAGTTTTTCTCTTCTCCCTTCCAGTTTCCCAGCTATGCCATTCTCATTGCCTGTCTCATAGTGGTGTCCATTCTTTTCATATTGATGCTCTCGTTGGTGTTTTGGAAGCGTAAGTATCCCTAAGCACATAGTTGATTAATGTTTCTAATGCTGGCCTAGTGCAGATGTCCTTCTGTATCTCTGGTTAACCTTCTGGTAAATCTGCCATGGCCTCTGTGGCAGCACTCTGTTCATTTTATGGGGGTTGCTGTCCTTACTCCAGGGCTGTGTCACCACAAGGAGACCAGGGAGCATGAGTTGGTGGGAATGCAGCAGGAGGAAGCCTGTGCAAAGAACCTGTTCACTCACTTGTTGCAGGTCTGGCTCATCTTGTTGGCTCTTGCTTTATAGTAAAGTGGTCCCGTAGTTTCCTGGGATTGCTCCTGACAGACGTTTGTGTAACTTAAATCAGAATGAGATCCTTTCTTTCCTGCTTAGCCCACACAAATTTTGCAACTTGCTATCTTTGCTTCTGAACTCATTTGACGGATTCATTAGCATTATAGATTTCTTTTTGCCATGGTGACATTAATATTATTTTGCTTCTAGGTAAACACACAAAGAAGTTTATAATAAAAAGGTAATCTATTTTGTAATTTCCTATTAAAAGTTCCAATGTAATCTTTCTTAGAGGCAGGAAGGTATTGGCCACTGATTGTAATGGGTGTAGTATTGGCTTGTGGTGCCGACTACCAAAGTTGTATTGCGAGCAAGCTTCAGATAACTTCACCCCAGAAAAATCAAACAGTGGTTCCTGGATACTGCTTCTGTGTAGCAGTAACAGACATCCAGAGCACTGGAGAACTTCAGCAACTGGTACTTACTGTTATGCAGTGACGCCAGCTTAAGGAAATACCTAATCTGCTTTATTCTTTGATCAAAGACCAGGGCATGACCTTGGTGGGGTTATTTTAAAGAAATTAAGAGATAAATGGTTATGATGATCAACTGGCAAAATGATTGCTCAGAAAGGGATCAGAGATTTATGGACAGTCCTCCATGGAATGGTAATCCATGCCAATACACAAAGAATGGGTCCCATGAAGGGCACACTGCAGCAGTGTGGCAAACCAAGCTTTCCACCACTAGATAACTCTTGCAGCTCTCATGGGGCCACTGCACCCGCTCACACACTCCTCGGGTCACACTGAAGTATCTGAGGTGATCATTGAGGTGATCGTTTTGAGGCAGATGTGAAATATATATGATGAATCACCCTGTGCAGGTGTAACTGATAAGTTCACGTCTTCTGGCTTATCTTGAAAAAAGGATTTTCTCTAGACGAACCACAGGGTAGTCCAGTGAGGTATCATCCCTTTGCCAAAGACCAATAATTTTTCAATTGTAGATGGTCCCCCACTGCATACGCCATCTAGGAGATAAGGATTGGGGGCCAAGGAGGGACTCTTTTCTGAATCCCATGGTGATTACCCTACAGCTGTCATTATAAAATCTGAACAGTGCTTTCCTATCCATTAGAAGAATGCAAGCAAGGTAAATACTTCTCTGGTGTAAAAAGTAGGCATTGCACCATTGAAGTGAGTGGACTCAGTAGCTTCTGGTCTCCATGTCAATGGGAATTTGCCGACGTTACAAATAAGACACGATGCTCTGAAGCAGCAATGTGCTTTTGCCCCACCCATAGTGACCTATGCTTCTCACTACAGCCATGGACCAGCGGAAGACCTTGAAAAAGTTTTCAGTGGTGCTGAAGGAGAAAACAGCATCTTTTCCCTGTGAAGAGCTCCTACATCATCTGTAGATGCCACGGAAAATAAAAAGGGCCTGTTTCAGGCCGCATTGAGAGAAGCTTATGAGCCCTCAAAATATCAGTGGGTGTAAACCAAAGGCCAAAGCTGTAACTGTGAAAATTTAAAACCTTTGTGCGAATTTTGCCATGTCACCTTTAAAACTTATTGCATAAAGAAGCTTCTTTGAGAAGGTGCTTTATGCATTATTCATAGGTGTTTCTGGTATCTGCCTTCTTACTAATACCATTTGTTTTTCTCTATTTTTACTAATGCTCTTCCTTGAATACAACTTATATTGTGAGGAACAGAAGAGAGAAGAAATAACATGGAATGCTGCCTAACTTCAAATTGACAAAAAAAAAAAAAATCAGCAAATACAGTTCTTATTGCTTTTATATAATCAAGAGAAAAATTAAGCCACAAGAATGCTGCAAGTATAAATCAAAAATGCAGATGACTTAAAGGATACCAACGCTGCCTGTGATTCAGCATGTTTGAATGACCCTTGGAGACTATGTTAATAAAATTTGTAATTTACTGCTAGCAGTTGTATTTTTTATGCCACATCCTAAGGCATTTGAACAGGAGTTAGTTATTCCCCAGGTGTTGAAATGACTGGTGTGCTGTCTCAGCTCTCCAAAGGAGTACTGCAGCATTTCCAGAGGTGGGAAAATGCCCAGAAGACCAACCCGCAGGGAAATTTTTCTATCCTGCCCCCACAAACCTCCATACCACTCATTTGTAAATCCATGTCTTCCCCCATCAATGTGCATAGGGGATCCCCAGTCATTTGTTTGGACTTGCCTTTTGGTCCTCACAGTAACGAGCTGCAAAAACCAGTAGCTCTTGTGGAGTCTGCTTGGCGATGCAGACCTGCACCATGCAGCCCCAGGGTGCCTAACTTAGGGCCCTAGCACCTAGTCACAGGGTAGCATAGTGCCCTCTGGCTGGGTTTTGTATGGATGAGGCTGGGGTGCCCAGTCCCACCGGTGCTGCCCATTTGTCTTTTAGAGAAGTTGCAGGTGAGAAGCACAACGCAGAGCACAGCTACATCTTGGAAACTTGTCCGTCCCTTCAGGTGCCCATGGGAGGTGGGTGAAGCCACCTCAGTGTTTCTGAGCAGCATAGGCAAAAATCCTGTGATCTCCATGGAAAGGCTCTGGGGACACTAAAAACAGTGAAGAAGAAGAGGTGAAGGGTGGCATTCACCTTCTACTGCTTCTAGTGGGACCGAAGGGCTGAGGGGGAAAACATTGCTGCTGCTGAGGACAGAAATTGTCCCCAGTCCTTCTTCACAACAACAAGCTGCCCCCACACTCCTACCCCGTCCTCAGGGACACCAACAGGACCTGCCATCCCTGTTCCCAGGACTTTGGTGTGGCAGAGCTGGCAAACAGGCTGTGGCTGTTCAGCTGCTCAGACATATCCCTCTGTTGTGCTTAGAGCTGACCCTGAGGATGGGGATGGTTTGGACACTGGGCTGCATGGGCACATGTGTGGTTAGCAGAGAGGGGCAGTCTGGCTCTGGGCTGTGGACCTTGGCTTGGCTCTGGGGTGCCTGAAGAGGAGTCAGGCCTGCCAGCAGCACAGAGCAATCCAGGCAAGTCCGAAATCGTCCCCGTTATCCTCAAGCCCTGTAAGTGCTGCTTCTCATTTGACCATAATGATAGCTCTGCAGCACTAACCTTACCTCTACTCAGCTGGGAAAACTGGAGCCTTTGGGTGGCTGCAGGGCAGATCGGCGGCGCATGGCAGAGCAAAGCCCATCATTTCACCACACTAATAGCAGCCTTTCTGAGGGTTCTCTTGCTTGTGTTTCAGCTGGGTTAAGATTTAGCCTTTAGAGAACAGACTGAGTTGGTAACCAGCCTGGGGGCGTCAGTGCAGTGGGACTGGCCATGGAGGCTGGGGGATCATCCATGGGATATGCTGCAGACCTTTTGTGTATGTCATTGAGGTCCTCACCAACTCTGCTGCAGTGACTACGGGAACGGCATGGGAGATGGTTCAAATCCATGACACCGTTTGTTACCTCCATTGCCTGGAGTTCACCAGTCCCTGCTGTGGCAACTCCAGGCAATGACAACTTGAAGTAAGAGCACATTGTGGGAATAGTATTTGATCAGAAGAAAACATTGTGTGGCAGCTCTGGACTTCCCCGCTAGTCATGCTCAGGGCTGTGGTGAGACTTTTTGACTCTACAGCATCTTCTCACAGGCCATGAGTTAGGGGGAGGCAGGGGAGGTTCCTCTTTGGGGTCCCTCTCAGTCTCGGCCAGGGTCAGCACCCCCCTGTGCACCCTGGTTTAGGTACATTGTGGGAGGCAAAAGAGAATCCCCAAACAGAGGATGTGGCCTGCAGGCTCCCAGGTTGGGTTTGCTCAGCTGAGACTTGTGTCTGTCTGTACCACACTGGTTAATGCGGCTGCTGCTACCCCAATACACAGCACGTGCTGAGCCCAGGGGCCTGGTGCCTGACACTGCTTCTAGGCATGAAACCCACACAAATCTGTAAGGAATAAAAGGGGAAAAAAAACCCAAGCAGTTTTGATGTACTCCTTTAAAAAAAAAAACAAATCTTTTTCTTTTTTTTCCCCCCAAGTAAACCTGCTAATTAAGCCAGCAATATTTTCATTGCAACTTCCAATTGGCAGGGCTGGGCCAATCCTTTTGCTCTTATTAATTAGCTTTGCACTAATGACTTCCTTAGAGCAAGGCTTGCTCTTGCTGGGGAAGGTTCTAGCACATTCTCTGTGGTGCTGGCTGGACTTGAAGGCCCTGCCTTGGGGAGCTGCACAAGGGCAGAAGAAATAGGAGCCAACAAAGTGAGTTTGATCTGATCAGCCATGTAGAAATGCAGCCCAGAAATGCTGTAGGGAAGCTGTAAGTGTCACTTACGTCGCTGAGCATTTTTATTTATCTTTTTATCCACCCCAATTACTGAGGCTGAGGTTTGGGTTTAGAGTGGCACTTGGAAGCAAGGAATCTGGGAGGGTTATATTTAAATGAAAATACATTGAAGTAATTTCTGAGGAACTGACCCTGGCTGTCAGTATGTTCAATGAAAGGTTAAAGGGAGCCTTTTAAAATGTAGCTGGAGGAAAAAGAGATGCTGTTTTCCAAAAGCAACGGAAGCCGCAGAATGCAGTTTCTGCATCTAGTGAAGAAAAACTATATGAAAGCAGCAAGTTTTTAGAAAGAAAAGACTGTCAGAGAGTATGTCATTGGCATCTGGAAATGTTAGTCTTTTTTTTTTAAGACTTTTACCTCGGAAGGCAAAGAAGAAGTGCACTTGAGTAAACATAAAGCACTGCAGCCAAGACGACCCTCCGGTAAGCAGCTTAAACAATACACAGGGTAGAAGCTGCAAAGCCCTACAGGGGCCAGTGCTTCAGACTGGGAAAACTTTGACAAAAGGCAGCCTGGCCCCTGGCAGCCAGCCCCTGTGAGTGCTGTTATGTTGTAGGGTGCAGGTTTCCTTGAGAATTGCTTTGCTACAACTTGTGGCTGCCCGTTGAACTCGCTGAAGCAGGTCTCCCTGCAAAGTCTGCCTGCGTGCACCTTCACCCTGCCCTTGCTGGCCTCCCATACCTCCCAGACAGCTGGCAATGAGCAAAGCCGTTTGCTTTAAAACAGCTGTGTGTTTCCCCAAAACTCCAGTCCCCCCAGACCTTTCTTCCCCCCACCTCTCAAACTGCCAAGTACTAAGACCTGACATCATCCAGGTTTAACGCCTCTCTCCAGTGCTCTGAGCTGCTGAAGTTGTTGCAGCGTTTATGGGCTTGCACTGGGAGCCTGTGGCTAGAGTGAAGCAGGTTTCAATTTGTTCAGAGTCCATGTCAAGCCTAAATGGTGTTATATCTGGGGAGTCTGGCTCTGCTCCATGGAGCAAGGTGGTTAATTAATGAAGGATTTAGCTTTTGGTCCAAGTAATAATTTTCACTGGACCCCAGTACTTTGTGAACAATTGTGTGTATCAAAATGACCGACTAAATTGGGTAGAGGACGTCTGATGTGAAAGATAATGACTGAACTACCTAATTAGTATGGAGGAGGTACAGAAAAGCAATTAAAAAGGGAGATCTGAATATTTTGGGACATGGGATTGGCTAATGAGAAAACAGGAGGAAATACTGAAAAAAAAAAAAGGGAAGTGCTGAGTTAGGAATACAAATCCTTTAAAGAGAAACAAGAGGAATGAATTGAATATCATTTTGAGATTAATAAGAGACCTCTCTTAATAGACTTTATTGGAGCTGACTGCTGTGATGGTCCCTTTCCATCTCAGCAGCACATTTCATTATGTTTCCAGGTTTGTTTCTTAGCCTTAATGTGCTTTTCTAGGCATTTTTTAAGGTTAATATAAATAAATCTCTGGGTTCCAAAGGTGGAATCTAATTGGAGCTTAAGAAAGAGCAAGCAGAAGGGAAGAATGTGGCTGAGTACATAGGAAATTAGAAATAAGAATAAATAGCATCATGGGACTTGGGGAAAGAACAGAGATAACCACACAGTGTGAGAGGAATGCATGAAAAAGTGGAAAATTTGAGTCTGGTAGAAAGAGGCAATGGGATGTGTTGCCGCAGATGTGACAGCAGATGGCAAAATTGAGCTACAGAGGCAGAGAAACAGCTGGAGAGATTAGAAGTGGAGTAAAGGTGATGCAGATTTGCTGCCACCATGCAGAATAAATGCAGCCTCCTCCAGTCGCGATGGAGGTCCTGGCTGGGAGCTCAGCTCACGGCTGCCTCCAAGGCATGCTTTCAGCATGCTTGGCCTGGGCTCCGGCTTATGTGTCCTCTAGCAACACAATTTCCTGCAAGTCTCGGCAACACCCCGGTTTTCTTGTGCTCCTGAGGCCATGGTGGCCGTGCACTTCTTGGTTTCCTTTTCCCGCTGATGTCTAACCCCAGCTGGGAGCAGCGCGGCTTTGGTTTCTCTTGCTAATTTAAAACATAAAACCCAAGACTCAGCATCTTGTGCAATCACG